CTCATTCAATGGCTAAGGTGGGGACAGGCATGGATTATTGTTTCTTATGATCAAAGATGTTGAATTTAAAATTTTTCTTATTTTTCTTTTTTTAAAGATGTATTTTTATTTATTTATGCATGCAAGAACTGGGGTATAGGCTAGAGGTGCAGTGGGGGAAGGGGTGAGAGGATTCACCAGAGATGGAGTGGGGAGCAGAGCAAGCAGATCTATTGAAATACACAGCCAGGGGAGCAGCAGGTAAGACAGGAGAGGTCTGCTGTGCCATGTGGGTAGCTCCCTGGCCAGGGATCAAACTCATGCCGCAGTGGCTGGTAATAGCTTGATAGCGCTGAAACTTTATCTCCTGCACCACCAGGGAGGTCCTGAACTTTACATTTTTTATCTTTTTGCTACAAGACACAGGCTACCTGCATAAAAAGTTATGTTACTCTTATGAAACCAAACTCCTAAGATGATGATATATAAAAATAAAGACAATAGGGCCTCCCTGGTGGCGCAGGCGGTTGAGCACTGCATTGAGAAGCTGTCCACAGCCTCTGCAGCATGTGTTTGAGCCCCACCAATGGGAGAGAAACCCACATGGCGTGGCAGACTGCTCCTGTCTCGCCTGCTACTTCCCTCAGCAGTGTATTTCATCAGTCTGCCTGTTCTGTTCCCTGCTCTGTCTCTGATGAATCCTCTCACCCTCCCGCACATCTGGCCTGTACCCCAGCTCTTGTATAAATAAATAAATCTTAAAAAAAAATAAGACAATAAATCATTTCCTTGAAGTAATAATAATGAACGCAAGAGGAGGAAAGGATACTCTATCCTATCTGGTCACAGTTAAGCTTCTTTGCATTTTTAGACTACAAACTTAGTAGACACGATGACAGGTGGCAATTCTGTTTACCTAAGAAATACCTGCCTCTAGACTTGGATGTGCTGTAGGTCTGCAATGTTACTAAAATGAGCTAAACATATTTAGAATTAAGGTAGAGGTAATTCTAGAAGGTGAATTTCTAAAAACTAAATTTAGTGCTGTGAGCAAAAGATCTAAAGTAGGTCCCGACTGAATGAAATGAAAACACATTAAACATAAATGGACATGTCATCATTTTGATCTAAATCAGAGAGATGTTAGACAGTTAAAGCTCATGGAATATAATCAGATAGAAGAACCTTTAAAAGGAAGAGAGATGTAAAATGTAAAGATAAGGAAGAGCTTAAAAGCAGACACACCTTAGGCCTGGATATCTGCCTAAATTGTCTTTATGGGGTAGTTAAGAAGATAAACATCTGAAAATTTAAGGAGAGTTATGATATTTTTGTTTTTGTTTTTCCATTTGGTAACATATACCTTGATAATCTCAGGTGCTCTTTAATGTATGCAGAACACATGGCATCCTGCCCTTTTCTCTGGTATTCTAGAACTCCTGCTAGTAGGGTTTCTGCCATTTATCATTGAAGACTAAACACACAAATGCCAATAAATAAAAATTTCAACCCCAGAGGACACAGTTGAGAGATCCCACAAATATATGATTGAAAGCTCTCATGTGCAACTGTACATTTCAAATGGCCCGCATTAGTTTTCTGGCGAACATGCAATTGTTACTTTGGATTTCCTCTTATTAAAATTCTCTTGTTTAGTGTTAGACCTGCTTTTTCTTTCCAGCCTATAGGTTGGACTCTTTCTTTTTTTTTTGGTCAAGATTTTTTTTTTTTTTTAGATTTATTTTTATTTATACAAGAGCTGGGGTACAGGCCAGAGTTGCAGGAGGGTGAGAGGATTCATCAGAGACAGAGTAGGGAGCAGAACAGGCAGATGGACTGAAAACACTGCTGAGGGGAGCAGTGGGAGAGACAGGAGAAGTCTGCCTCGCCACATGGGTTGCTCCCTGGCTGGCCAGGAATCGAACCGGAGCTGCGGAGGCTGGGACAGCTTCACAGTGCTGCACTCAAGTGGGGGTGGGGGTGGGGTTTACCACAAAGAACTTTCCTGTGCTCTTCTCAGAACTATTTAGTGAGAGTAGTGAGGGGGCTAAGATACGAAGAGTGTGGGGATCTTTTAAGTGTGCAAGCTTTTAAGGAAAGGGGAACCGGTATTGGCCCTGGAGGGATTCACTATAGCAGGCAAGTGGGCCCTATCCAGAAATTTGCTCTTGATAGAGAGGCTGTTCTTTTGGAAGAGTGGCTCCATCATCTCTCTTTTCGTGGTGACTGCTGGCTTTTCTATCCATTTCTATCCTGTTTTGCCCATGGCACTCCCTTCATTTCTTCACTTAAGTGACCTATGGCTGTATGATAAGATATAGTTCAATGCAAACAGAGAGGATTGTATGTATTTAGAGCTTGAGAATCCAGGTTCAAGATCTTTCTCTGCCACTTGTTAGGGTATGACGCTGGGCACGTCACTTCACTACTCTGAGCTTTGGTTTTCTCATCTGTAAATTGAATATTTATGCATTATATGAATTACCTGCCTTATCTGCCTCATGGAATTATAGAAGATTAAATGAGAAAATGTATATGAAACTATACCCCAGGGCTATGATGGTGATTATGATTATTATTTAAAAACTCCGTGGGTGGGCCAGTTCTTCCCACCTAGAAAAATAATAGGATTCCTATTCAAAGTCTTACTGCACAGAAATCAGCACTAACTTGCTTATTTAATTTTTTAATGAAGTCTAAAAAGCAAGATAGATGGAATTTCTGAAGAAGTTCCTGGCTTTTGAAAAATCTCATAGATTTTAAAAACTGTCACAATAAAAGTATTTTTAAAAGGTATATAATGGTTCCTGAAAATACCTGAAATGCCCATCCTTTTATAGATGTTTTAATATGCAATTTGTTCTAAATGTCTAATCTTGAATGACTAAATAATTTGCATACTGTTTTCAGTGGCATGAATTAAAGGCTAATTGAAGTATAATTTTTTGCAGTAAAATTATATCATCTTTTATGTAATATATTTAAAAATATTCTAGACCAGTTCTAATTTTATAGTTTTATTATTTTAATTTAATGTACCAAGTAATTAAAAATTGCTACAAAGAAAAGAAGATGAAAATGATTTTAGTTAATTTCCCCTCAACAGAGTGAAAAGATGATTAGTAGAATAATGGAACAGAGCTCAACACAGTTCCTGGCACATAAAGATAGTCATTAAGTGTTCCTTAATGAATAAGGAATGAATCATTTCTAAGTATTTCTAGACTAAAGGAAAAGGTGCCATTCTCAGTGCAATATAAAATAAGAAGATTGCTTGACATCTCTATATTAAAATACCTCCATGAAGGGCCTCTCTGGTGGTGCAGGCGGTTGAGCACTGTATTGTGAAGCTGTCCACAGCCTCTGCAGCATGAGTTCTATCCCGGCCAGCCCGGGAGAAACCCACATGGTGCAGCAGACCTCTCCTCTCTTGCCTGCTGCTCCCCTCAGCAGTGTGTTTTGTCAGTCTGCCTGTTATGTTCCCCACTCTGTCTCTGGTGAATCCTCTTACCCTCCTGCACATCTAGCCTGTACCTCTCTTGTATAAATAAAATTTTTTTTTTTTAAAGATGCTGTTGGAGTACAAAGGAGAAATATTTAAAAAAAAAAAAACAAAAAACCTCCAAGGAGAGGTCACACGAGTCATTTTTTTCTTGAACCTTCACACCCCCCAGTATGCTCTGCTTGCCTTTTTTCATTTTCTTTTTGCTTTTGAATAAATTCTCAGGTCTCAGTCAATTACTGAGGTTGATATGCCCTGGGTATCTTGCATTTCTTGTGCCTCTTGGCAGTAGAGGCACAGACTGCTTTTTTTCCTGGACTATTCCTTCAAGGATGTTTATATTACAGACAGTTTTGGAAGACAGTCTCTCCCTCTGGAGCAAAGGGCAGGTTTGCTCATAGCCTTGGAAGATAAAGGTGGCATCTCCTTCCAGAACCAACTTGCTATTTAGTCTAATACAGTGTCTCCCTCTGAGATAAGAGGCAGAAATGCTTATTGCCTATCATATAAGATTCAGATTCCTAAGCTTAGAGATCCTCTCCTGTAATGTGACCCACTGCATGTGCATGACTTGCCTGACCCTCGTTGTGTCACCCAGTTGGAATAGGGACTAAGAAGATGTGTGCAAAAGATACTGATGTTCTGTTACCTCTGTGAGTGAGGAACTGCCCTTTTAATCTCCAACCAGAGCTCGTTGTATCTTCTACCAGCATCCATGGAAACCATGGTAGGCCAACTTGTTAGCTTGCAAGTAGGATAAAATCACAAACCCTAAACAATTTGTGACTACAGGTTTCAGCTATGTTTCAATAAGTTATTGGTATATATTGATAGTAGTGGTGTTGGTACACTCATGTAAGGAGGAAACCTTACATGTACCTCTACTGGCTCATCACCATTTGGGGTGCAGCTGAAGACCCTGAGTTCATATTCTCAAAAGGAGAAGTGAATGGGTATCACAAAGTTAGATGGGATGTGATGAGATCCAGAACTTCTGTTCAGAACACTGTGGAGCCTTTCATAGCTGTCACTTGGTGGGGTGGTTGAGTAGAGGTAGACAGAGGCTATAGAGAAAGGAGCAGGGAGAAGAGGTTGGAAGAGGGAAAAAGATTCCACGAAGCTTCAAAGCAGCATAAAGTCATTCGTGCTTGTAGGTACTGTAAGTCCTGGAATTAACACCTACCATATTAAGCTTTTTTTTTTTTTTTTTACTAAGAATATGCATTTTTGAGAGCACTCTGTTTGGGGGGCTCAGTGCCTTCATCATGCTCACAGTTAAATGCTAGTGGCTGAAGGTGAATCTGCTTGTTTTGGGAAAAGATACAGTGGTAGTATTGGGCACATCCGGTCATTCTGTTTATACCACCCTCCTTCCCTCCCACCCTAGGCTACCCTAATAATGTGCAAGGCTGGTTAATAATGACTTCAGAATTCTCAGCTCCCTCTAGTACACTCCGAGTGTGAACATACTGATGCTGCCTCCAAGAATAGGCCCTTTGCCCACTTTCCTGTCATACAGGTTGTTCCCAAGTTGTGCTGTGACCTCTTCCTTGTTAGCCGCAGATGGAATAATTGTATTTTACCTCATGCCATAGGGACTTGTATCCGGCGTCATCGGATTTCTCTCCCACCTCCTGATGATGATCAGTATTATACTATGCATGATTTCAATATTGGCATAGACATTGTCTTTTATGGGCGAAAATTCAGGATTTATGACTGCGATTCATTCACAAAAAACTTTCTGAGGAAAATAGGAACCAAATTAAACCCCCCGGAGCAGTGTCCCGAAGATCCTTACCTGAATCTACGGAAAACGGTAAGAAGTTGTTATGTCCAGTTCTTGTCTTCAGAATGAGGATACCTTTGGAGTGTCAATAAGGGGTATCAGTACTCCTGATGTAGATGTGAAAGAATTTTGGGGACCATGTCCTTTGGGCAGAGGGAAGGCTGGGAGTTGGCCTCAGATTAGGAATGTCTCACTCACTGCCCCTGCCCTCATTTCTCTCCAGGGAGAGAAGGCAGTGGGAGTCTTCAGTGAGCTACCCATGAGGACAGTTTCTAAAAGGCCACGATCGGCTTTGTGGTCTACACTCCTATGAGTTGAGCCCACACTTACTACCTGACTTATTTTTTTACCATGTCTCCTAACTCTGACTGGGAAAAATCCTTGCTTCTGTACTACTGATATACAGAACCAAGCCTGGAGTATAGCTTTTTCCTTCCTCCTCAGGACTCTTCCTTGCGGTGGCATCAGGTGTGGAGATGTTCCAGAGGAGTAAGGAGGGCCATGATTCTGTTGTACCCCCACTGTGAAAGGGTGTTTGTCTTCAAAGTCTGACCCCAGTTAGTATAGGAAGGAAAGAATAAGTGTTAGTAGTGTTATTTTGCCTTTCTAAAGTTTTATTTTTCAAATGATTCCTTAGCGATCAGAGGGTGGGAGGGAGGAACACAGGGGACTGAGGTGATGGTGCACGGGTGCCTTGGTGAAGGAAACTCTATGGGGACTACACCTGAGGGGGTGGGGGGAAGCAAATATTGTTTAAAAATGAACAATGATGTAAAAAAATTAAAAAAATAAAAAATAAAATGATTCCCTAGCCCAAATTTTATGTTTTACTGAAGTATCTGAACACCCAAAAGGGGATGTATCATGTGAAAGGTAACATAACTAACCAGTCTTCTTACTTCTTACCCTGACTTCATTATTGTCATTTGTTTCCCTTTTCTCTTTTTATTGGAGTAAGATTACATGTAATAAAATACACAGAAATTAGTGTTCAGTGGGCAAATGCATACACCCTTGTAATCCAAACCCAATCAGCATTTACAATGTTTCTGCCTGGGGCCTCCCCGGTGGCGCAGCGGTTGAGTGCTGGGTTGCAAAGCTGCCCGCGGCCTCTGCGGCGCCGGTTCGATCCCCGGCTGCTCCCCGGCCACTGGAGGAGGGTCCCACATGGCGCGCAGACCTCTCCTGCCGCCCGCTGCTCCCCTCAGCAGTGTACTTCGGTCCTTCTGCCTGCTCTGCTCCCCGCTCTGGCTCTGGTGAATTCTCTCACCCTCCCTGCGCTTCTGACTGTACCCAGTGCTTGTATAAACCAAACAAACAAACAAATAAAATAAATAAATAAATAAAACATGCCTCTATAAAAAAAAAAAAGAAAGAAAATAGAATGTTTCTGCCTCATGCCTTTTTCCAGTCAGTCCCTGTCCCCACCCAGGGATAACCACTGTTCTCATTTCTATCCCTTTACATTAATTTTGTCTTAATTTTATTGTTTGTAAACTTATAATTCATTTCCTTGCAGAAAGGTAACATAAAATTTAGAATAAAATTCTCCTTTGATCTCTGTTAAAAGCTGACTGTAGGAGCATTCATCTACTCCTGCCTCTCCTAGCCCTAGTAGAATTATTCTCTAATGCTGTAGACATGCTACTCTCCTGAGAAATATATATTGTTGATTCTGAAATAGCTAAGGTGAAATCACCATGACATTATATTGGTGTTTAAGGAACTGTATGGTTTGAGTTCATTCTTATTTTTCCCAAATGCCATAATAAAATGTTCCAGATAAATACAAAGTCTTTACCACCAGCAGAACCCTAAAAGAAATGGGTCCATATGAATTACCTCCCATTGCATAAGGCTGCATGCATTCACTAACATTGTTCTCTGATAGTGATTTTGAATGACGATGCATTCATTATTTGAAATACACTGAGCACTGTGCAACTTCATAGGTTTATAAAGAAAAAAAAATCTTTTGAGCCAGGAGTCAAGAATAAATACCAAGAACAGCCAAGAAATGATCTAAATAATTTCCTTTCGGCTTGAAATCAATTTTAACATTTACTCCTTCAGGGAGAAAAACCTTCAATAAATATAGCAATCTGTAGAAAATTAGGAGTTTAATAAGAGACTTTTTTTATTGACTTTAGTGCATTTGCTTCTCCAGTGTTTGCTGCCTTGCAATGTAAAGTTAAAATTAAACAATTTAACTTAAACTGAAAAGAGCCCCTATGGTATATAATCAATAATGCATCTCTTAGCGGCCTCATAATGTCAAAGAAACATTTTCAATCAGTGGAAGTAGAGGTTCCATAATTTCATTTAAGTCTCAAGCATAGGCCTGAAGAGTGAAGAGCCTCCAGAAGCTGTCATGTCTCCTCCTGTCTCAGGGTAAGTCTGTACCTAGATTGCCCTGGACAAATACAAAATTTTGAGAATTTACAAATAAGATTACATAGCCTGATTTGGGACTACATCTCCCTTGCCTATGAGCACTTCCTTGCATAATGACCCTATTTGGCTACATCAGATAGAGTGGGGGCAATTCTGCACCAAGGGCTGAGAACATACAGAGAGAGAAGTGTTATATCAAGAAGATTGCAGAGCTAGAGCTTCTGAGGTTGGAGACAGAGCCCAGGCGGTTGCTCTGTGAAGACTGGAAACTTCTCCATTTGTTCTACTCCTGTTGCCATAGTCTTTCAGGTCCTTACTATCTAAAACTCTTGCGCAAATAAAACCATGAAAATATTTCTTCTCTTTTCCCCTTTTTCTTCACAAAAAAATCTTTGGATGAATAAGAAGCATATACAGGAATGAATTTTCAGTGCAAAGCCAACTGGTTTTGGTCGAGGTGTAATTAACATAGACTCAGATGTACAAATCTTAAGTGTACAGATTGACAGTTTTGAAAAATGTATACGATTAGTATCCAATGTGAAAATCAAGATACAGAATATTTCCATTACCCCAGAAAGTTCTATTGTCTCCCTTTCCAGTCAGTCTATAACCCAGTTGCAATTACTTGTCTAATTTCTGTCGCTATACATTAGTTTTTGTCTGTTCTAAAATGAGCATTTCAAGTCACTTTTTAAAAATGTCATAGAAGTATATTTCAGTGGATTAAAATAGTGCTTAATATGAAAAGCTCCCTATTGCTTGATTTTCTCTCTCTATTTTTTAATATTTATTACATCATTGTTCATTTTTGTACAATGTATGCTTGTATGCTTTCTCAGGAAAAAATAATAATAGATTTTCTATATTTTTAAGGTTAAAATTGATTAGATTTAACCACTTTAAATGATTTTAAATTGTTATTTTCATTTGAAATTCTTAAAAATATAACAGGACAGTCTGCGGCAAAGGTATCTTTTATGTTCAACTGCTTGCGTCCCAGGAGTGATTATGCAAAGCTCCCAACTGTTGCTGCCCTTTTCTCTGTTTGCAGACGCTGGACTGCATGGAGCCCTTGCGGCCCTATGAGCCCTTTGACACCCTGACGCAGTTCCTTAACTATGATAGGAAGGTTTTGCGTTTCTTCTGCGTGTGGGATGACTCAACCTCACTGTTTGGGGACCGCAGAGACCTCATCCTGCATTACTTCCTGTCTGATGATACTATCGAAATCAAAGAAGTGCTGCCCCACAACTCAGGTCGGGATGCCATGTCATTGTTCCTCCAGAGGGGGAAGCTTCCCAAGGTGAGCAGTGGGCCCAGAGCCACTTACCTGGTTTCCCAGAGACTGAAAGACTGTAGTCACTCACTGTCTGGAATGTCATGTGTTACGACTATGTGATGACAGTTGCCATATATTAGTGCAGGTGTTTAGAGAACCTTCATTTTGTGTCCTCTATTAATACACATCTATGAGTGTAATGCAGAGATATGACAAATTGGAGTTAGAATATCCTGGGCTCAAGGCACATTAATGAAAAAAGTCCAGTGCAAGAGAAAGTACCTGTTCATCTCTAAGTTCACAATCCGTCTCATGATGGTAAATTATTAGTAAAATTATTGCTCATGGCTTTGGACAGGGCAGTGGCCTCTGGTCTACTGAGGAGACTATGCTGTCGGTCTGGATTGTCAGTGTACACACACACACACACACACACGTGTACAAGCATATGTTTAACAGTGACTCTCCTGAGAGTATCGAAAAATCTGTAGCTGGCTAGCAGCAATGGCAGCTTTTGCATTTTATTTACTATTAAAAAGAGTCATTGGGCTGATTTCCACAGATATTAATGGTCATTTGAGAGCTAATGTAACTTGGGTGCAGCCTCTCCCCGCTCAAGACACGGATTTTTTTCATAGCTCTATGTTATGTTTTATTTCTTACTTGGATAAAGTATTTTTTAACCTAACTCTCAGTGCTTCTGAAAAGGTTACTGTAATAGTCATCTCTGATGCAAACAACCCCTAGTTATTTGGTTGGGGGAGGGGAGGAGGCAGCATTTGTCCCAGAGGGAGCTGTGTGGTGTGCACAGCAGGTGCCCGGGAGGTGCCAGGGGATGACTTGAAAAATAGGCTAAATATAAAATACTAATGACACAGCTGACATTTGCAGTGTGCCGTGATATCAACTGCCTTACTTATTCATTCACTCAACAAGTATTTATTGAGTGTCACCTGTGTGCCAGTTCTGGAGTTATAATGAGAAAGAAAATGGATTAAGTCCTGTTTCATGGAGCTTACATTCTTGGGGAAAGATAACAGTAAAGGTGGGTGTTCCTTAACAATCACAACGTCCTTTGTTCTGTGATAAAGCTGACATTCTGAGAAGGTAACAGCATGTATCTAGATGTACTTTTTTTTTTTATATCGGGCTTACTTACACCCCCAATTCATAAATTCACATATTTCAAAACTTACATGTTATGTCACACATGTCAGGGATGTTTCAGCTTTCTCTTCTATGTGTGATAAGCTAATCTTTATTAATCTATATGAGTTAGTTAAGATATTCCATGCAGCTCATGCAACTGCTTGGACCACATCCAAGGAGTGTGCAACTGAAGAGTGTCCTGGCTTGCTCTGGGCCACGGTTTCTGTTAGAGCATGACAGCACTCCCTCATCCTTGCTGCCTCACCACACTCCCTCTCTCGACCAGCAAATACTTCCTGAACTCAGGCAGTGTGGTAAGCTGAGTAAGGAAAGGAAGGCAAAGTATGGTATCTTCCTCTGAGCGTTTTTGTAGTTTAGTGAAGAGAAAAGATGACTGCTGATGAAACAATAAGAGAATCAGAAAAAGTGTCTAAACCATGCAGTAGGTGCTATTGAAGTCTGGATTGGCTAGGCCAGTAGGATGGCAGCAATCAGGGGAAAAGATGCAGCTATATCAGGGCCTTGAAGGAATGGCAGAGTGTACACCAGCCCACAGAGGGTGAGGAAGCATAAGGAGGGGTGGACGGAGTATGTGTCTTATCTTTCTCTGCATGGCTGAGAAGAACCACACAATAGGTGATTTCCTCTGGAGCTTTTCAACAGGACCACCTTGGTGTTTAGGGTCCAACTACCAGGTCTTGTCTTCATTTTGTCTTCCAGTTTGGCCCACCTGGAGTCTATCAACCAGGTGAGGTAACAGATCGAATTGTTCTCAATGTATATGGTGGCTACTCAGAGAATCGAGTGACTGGCTACATGTTGGATAAATACCAGGTGAGGAACCTCACATTTCATTACTATTTCCTGTTTGACTTCCCTGGGACCAGAAATGTATTCTCTCGTGAGGCTGGTTGTAAATGAAATAGATGAATGTGCAAATACAGGCATTGCATTGGTAGTTGCAAGCACTACATTAGTAAAAAAAAAAATGGTTTTAAATGTTGATATTGACTAGTTATCTTTGGATTTGATTTTTAAAATTTGCTTATAATTAATAAAATTGAAGGTTTTCATTTTGTAATGTATTTCCTTTGGGAAGGGGGTATGTAGGCCTTTAGAGTGTCTGTGGTACCAACACTGTGTTCCTTTGTCCTCATTAGCATGGAAAATTACAACGAGAGTTTTACAAGGATAGTGACCTGTCCATAGGAACTGCCATCAATGTGTGGGGAAGGAAAGTACTTCTTTGTGACTGTGATGAATTTACAAAGCTTTATTATAAGACTAAATATGGAATTGGTAAGTGATACATCTTAATTAGAAATATAATCTTTATAACTAGTTAACTAGAATATAATTATTTAAAACTGAGAACTTTTGGTTTGTTCAATAAATGGTGCTGGGAAAACTGGGTTGCTACATGCAAAAGAATGAAACTTGACTACTACCTCACCCCATGCACAAAAACCAACTCAAAATGGATTAAAGAACTAGACATAAGACCTGAAACTATAAAATATATAGAAGGAAATATAGGTGAAATACTACATGACATGCACCTCAAAGACATCTTTACAGACACATCACCCAAAGCAGTGATAGTGAAGGCAAAGATCAACAGCTGGGACTACATTAAATTAAAGAGCTTCTGCACAGCAAAAGAGACAATAACCAAAACAAAGAGAAAACCCACTGATTGGGAAAAAATTTTTGCACACAACACTAATGATAAAGGACTGATCACAAAAATCTACAAAGAGCTGACGAGACTCAACAAAAATGAAGAAAATAATCCAGTCAAAAAATGGGCAGAAGAGCTAAAAAGAAACTTCTCCAAAGAGGAAATACAAATGGCCAACAGGCATATGAAAAAATGTTCAACATCACTTGCAATCAAGGAAATGCAAATCAAAACTACAATGAGATACCATCTCACACCAGTGAGAATGGCACATATTAAAAAAACTAGCAACAACAAATGTTGGCGAGGATGTGGAGACAAAGGAACTCTCCTGCACTGCTGGTGGGAGTGCAAATTGGTCCAACCACTATGGAAAGCTGTGTGGAGATTCCTCAGCCTACTAAAGATAGAGCTTCCATATGATCCAGCAATTCCACTCTTAGGTATTTATCCAAAGGACACAGAAACATCAATTCCAAAGAACACCTGCACCCCTATGTTTATAGCAGCACTGTTTACAATAGCTAAGCTTTGGAAACAACCCAGATGCCCAAAAATAGATGAGTGGATCAAGAAGATATGGTACATATACACAATGGAATATTACTCAGCATTCAAAAAAGACAAACACATGCAATTTGCAGCAACATGGATGGCGCAGGAAGGGATCATGCTCAGCAAAATAAGCCAGAAAGAAAAAGAAAAATACCGGATGGTCTCACTCATAGCAGGAATCTGGAAAACCTAAATAAGGGACCATGAAAAAGAATAGCTATAAGAAAGAAAAAATCAAAATCAACAAACAACTATGAACCAGAGACACACTATGGGGGGGGGTGGGGAAAGGAGGAATTGGGATTGGGGTTAAAATAAGGGGGTTGCAATTGTATGGGGAATATAAAAGTAAAATTAAAAAAAAAATAAAACTGAGAACTTTTGTTTCCTAATATTTCATGTGTGGAATATAGAGAAACAAAACAAAGGAACAGATCAAACCAAACCCAAACTAACCATGGAAATATGACTGTAGATTTGAGGTCACTGGATGGGGGAGCCTGGAATGGGGAGTAAAGGGAGGAGGGAGCACAGTGGATTATGGTGGAGGACTATGGGTGCCTTGGTGGTGGGTGTGGTGTGGCGACATGCATCTGAAGGGTGTCAATTATACCTCTGAATCGGATACAGGGTTGGAAACCAGTGTTACCTCAATAAAAAGGAAAAATGGTTACAAATTTTTTTACTTTGGAGTTTTAGTTGCTAAACTTATAATAATTAACATTTATTGAGCATTTGCTTTCTCTCAGGCATTTATTGTATTATTTATTCCTAACAATTCCAGAAGGGTAGGCTCATTATGCCCATTTTAGAGGTGAAGAAAGTAAGACTTAAAGGGGCCAATTGTCAAAGGTCTTCTGGTGAGTAAAGGGTGAGCCAAGTCCAAATCACTGGTGCCAGAGACTTCCCTTTTCCCTTAGAGCCATTTTCCTCACCACAGTTTGGGCAGATGTTTGGTTTGAGCAGTTGAATGATTTTCTTTTCACTGATTTCTTGCTTACCATGATAGATATACTTATTTATATCTCTGGGGACTTCTCTCATGTTGATTTGCTCTACCTCTCCTGGTGAGGTCCGTTCCAACTTCTCTCTTCTTAGATGTCAATTCCATTCAGGTCAGGTTAGCTCATTTCAGAATGAAAACCAGTACACATGGTGGCTGCTGTAGAAAAGCTGTTAGTGATCCACAGGTCTTTGGGGAGAAGAGTTTCATCTTTATTTTATTTTTTTAAAGATTTATTTATGCATACAAGAACTGAGGTGTAGGCCAGAGGTATGGGGATGTGAGAGGATTCACCAGAGACAGAGTGGGAAGCAGAACAGGTGGATCTACTGAAATACGCTGCTGAGGGAGCAGAGGGTGAGGCAGGAGAGGTCTGCTGTGCCGTGTGGGTTATCTCCTTGGCTGGGGATCGAACTCAGGCTGCAGTGGCTGGCGATAGCTTGATAGTGCTATGTCTTTAACCCCTGTGCCAGTAGGGAGGCCTGAGTTTCATCTTTAATAAATGTAGATGTCTGTTTAGACTCAACAAGTATTCAGCGTAGACTTGAAAATTTGAGAAGATGTGTATATATAAAAGATGGGTCACTGAAAGATTGTTCTACAGAAAGATTATCTTAATACAGAGGGTGTGGTGAAAGTTCCAAAATATCATAGGAACTGTTAAATCTGCAGTTCAACAGTTGGTGGATGTCTATCTTGATGTTATCAGCTTGATTTTAAGAATATAAAGGTGACATTTGGGAAAATGAATGTAGTACCAGAGAGACGTGGTACATTGTTAAGTCTCTTAATGGGTTTGCAGGGAATGTTCAGAGACAGAGTGAATTCACCTTGTGCTCCAAATTGCCATTCTAAGCAAATTTATCAGCTTCAAATGCCCTGTGCTCCATTTCATTTGCGCCCTAGTGCTTAATTTCTGTCTGCTCACTTCTTTTGCTTATTCTATAGACTTATTGCATTATGTAAAAATAAGTAGTATGTGCCTTTAGAGCTAATATATCATGAGCATTGTTTTTAAACATAAAATTATGCAAATGCAAAATTATGATGCATTTTATAGTCACAATGACTTTTTATATTTCTCATAACATATTAAAATACCCCATGCAACAGACACTGATTATGCAGTATTTCTTAACTAACAACAGTGTACTTAATGTAACTAATAAAATGATATCTATGATGGGGGAGTGAATCAGTATTATGATAATCTTTACATTTGCCTTTCCTGAGCTTTGGTAAGGTTAAATTAATATACTTAATGTTACATACAATTATTAACACTGACCAAATTTTTTTATCTTTTATTTTGATATCATTGAAGCCCAAACCAGGATAAAGTCCTGTCCATAATTGTGATCGCATTATCTGCCTTGTCAATAGCTGTGGTCAGTAGAATACCTGGTTTCTCCATTCTGCAGCGCCACGGGAAAGAGCTGACAAATGCCAGCAGCACAGCTAGGGACCGCCCTAGGAGGAAGCCAGAGAGAGATTTCCAATGCAGTGTGCAGCCTTAGTGCTTTGGTACCTTCCCCAGCTAATGACACCTTGATATTTTCTTTTTGGGAAAATGGCAGAAAGACTAAGAGTATAAGTTTGCTACAATCCCAGGAAAGGTGCACAGATAAGCTTTGCTATTGTATGCAGAAGCAGGATTCAATAGAATTCTGAGAGAGATTGGAAAACCCTCGTGCAAGACCCTTCCGACTCCTAAAAAGAAGAGATTCTTTTATGCATTTCAGGATTCTAAGGAAAAGGTGATTCCATAGATATTTTCTACATAACAGTCCAATGTGACTCCCCCACTAGGCAGCTTGGCCATCCCGCTGGCCCCAGCTTGCCTGCTGGGCTGTAGCATGTCGCTCCCTTGTTATTTTATGTGGATGAACATGGACTGACAGATGGAAGCCTGTCGGACTTTCCTGTAGCATGAAGGTTGGAAAAGGCTCCAGGGGCTCCAGCAGGTGTTTCTTTCACTGAAGGGGCAGGGATTCAAATGTAAATTGTTGTTACCTAGAATCCCTGCCTTAGGTTATTATCTCTTTGTCTATAAGAGAACTTTCCTTACCATGATTCTTAGTGGCAGGGACAACCAAACCTTTCATTCCCGTTGCTCTTTTGAATAGTTATTGGGCTGTACTGACTAAAGTTGAGTAAAAACCTTAAGGCACCTCTAATTTGGGGGAGTCATTTCTGGCCATCTCTGAACTGTTGGTGCTAGAAGCAGCAAGCCATCCAAGATGAGAGTATAATGATCATTTGACCAAATTGGCTACCCCAAGTTGCAGCAACAGGGGTAGAATTCACTTCAGGCCTACCACATGGTCATCATGGACTTAACAGTTTTGCCTCTTTTTCTCCTTCTGTGAAGTGAAGCGGGCTGAGGATTAGACAATTTCTAGGCTAAGAAATTATGGGATTCACTAATAATTTGACCCAAAAATGAACGTCTCAACAAAATCAGTTGACCTGGGTATTGGGTACAAACACAGATGCAATTACCTTGATAATGCAGTTATTGAAGCTGAAGCTCAGGGCTCTTCCTCTGCAGGAAACCCAGGACAAGGCCCTGAGCCTAATTTTATCTTAATAATTTGACATTCATTGTCTTGAAGAACTTCCAAGTTATATAAGCTTCAGGCCTCCCCAAACCTGGTTCTATATCTGGATTACTAGAACATAAGAAATGAACTTTGAGGTAAATGAAGGCTTTTACCAGTAGTATTTCCAACTGAGATGGTAAGCAGTAAATCACTGTAAAGGAACATTAAGATTCCCTTTTAAAATATATCACCTCTCTGTCAGTTTGCTGAAACCTAAGTTAATTGTGGGTAGACATTAAATATATATGTCTTTACAAGTCACCTGGAATTGGAGGAGTCAGACCATTTGGGAGACAAATGTGTCTCAGGATCCAGCAGAGTGCCAGTTTAAGAAGACATTTGGGGGAAAAGCTTTATACAAAAATGTATGCTTTTTCATTTATTCAACAAGTAATTTTTGACACCTGAAATATGCAGGCTGCTGGGATGATAGAAAATCAAAGACAGAAACTTGTCATTCAGGCGTGAGTCCAAAGCCTTGTGAATATATGCAATTACCCAGAGAAATAAGATCTTGAGTCACAGTATCCAAAAAGATGGATGTGGAGTTACAAAAGTCAGGGGTGATGGAGTGAAACAGTTCCAGGCTTTTATACACTAGATGGCACTGTGGGTGCAGAGGAAAGTTCTAAATTGGTTCTTTTGTTAGTTAAATCTGTTGCAAAAATTATGTAGTTGAGAAAACAACACTGTGTTACAAAACCTGTAACTATGGGGGAAAGTGTAGAATGTATTCTTAATTACTTTGTGGTTCCATAGATGTCCTCTTTTGATTACACTATTCAGATTAGTATGTAGAGCTGTCTGTGTATACCCTTGTTGGGAGAAATTGATCACACCCCAATTTGCTAGAAATCAAGTAGTGCATTCCCTGTCATTCCTTATGGTCCTTTCCATGAAATGAAGGTACCTGTCAGTGGTATGTTTGATGTAATAGTTAACAATGATAGGGTCTGCTGCAGTTCTGCTGAAATACAAGATTTAAACGGTTTTTATTTTATTTTAAAAGATTTTATTCTTATTTATGTGTACAAGAACTGGGGTGTAGGCCAGAGGTGTGGGGGATGCAGTGAGAGGATTCATCAGAGACAGAGTAGGGAGCAGAACAGGCAGATCTATTGAAATGCACTTCTGAGGGGAGCTGCGGGCGAGACAGAGAGGTCTGCTAGGCCATGTGGGTCAGTTCCCTGGCCAGGGATAGAACTCATGCCACAGTGGTGATAGCTTGATAGCTCTGAGACTTTAATCCCTGCGCCACCAGGGAGGCCCTGAACTGTTTTTAGTACCACAGCTTTTTAATAGCCCCAACGATAGCAACAGGAGAGGCTCATGAGTCACTTCTGTCCTGACAAACCGGCTGCACCCTTTCACTGAGCCCGTGAGAAATATTTGAATGCATTCTCTTTGCCAATATATCTCCTGTGAGCCATGTCTGTTAGGACAGAACAGTACTCTTTTGGGGGATTATGTGTGCATGCATTTCATACAAAGGCTGCTAAGAAATCTAAAGAAATGTGAAAGTTGAATTTTTGTCAAATTAGAGTCAGAAGGAGTCTCAAACCCTCAGCTTTTTGATCAATGAGTTAAAGTATTGATTTGAAAAGTTATGTTAGCTTAGATGACAAGTTGATGTACATTTTCAATTATAGAAGTGTGTACTAAATTTGTACTCTTCTACAGTAGAGCTTTGACAATGGAAAAGGAAATCTTAGGCTGGGGACTCCTTTCCATCAGGAATGGGAACAGCTATGGGGGGCGAAAGCTTGTGAAAGAAGATTCTTTGGGTTGTTTTGTTTTAGCAAAGATCCTGGCATCTTCTTTGCCATTAGTGGTGGGACAAATACAAATGATTTTTGAGACTATTGGGTCAAAGTGTCATTTGCTCTGGAGAGTATACTTGATTCTGAGAGATTATGTACCCCCAAAAATGACTACCTAAAGGCTTCTGGGCCGTTAATTCAGTCTCCAGCTTTTTCTCTCTCTCTTCTTCCTCACAAATGATAAGTAAACCAAGAAAATCAGCAGTATTTACCACTTAGCACTCCCTTTGAGAGAGTAGGCAGTGGCTATTTTTAAAGTTTTGTTTGTTTTTAGTTTTTGCTTTATTACATTTTAGTACAATTATCATCCTTTCTTAGGCAGTAATAAGAGCAACCTGGAATGGTTGTTGGTGAGAAGTTTTGTTTTTGTTTTTTTGAACTAGAGAATGAAGTTCCATGGCCTGGGGTTGAGCTGGAGGAAACCTAGAGGGCTAAGAAAGTGGGCACAGGAGAAGGAGCTAGGGGATGGGGATGGTAAAGGCCAAATAGTCAGGAGTCAGTCCTCTTGGAGAGAAATTTGATTAGTGAGTGTTGACTGAAGATAGGGAAGGGCTAAATTACAGGTTAAGATATGGAATGGGAGGCACAGAGTTCCAAGTTTAAATTTTCTTATCACTGGAAAAATCAGGGAAGAACAAAAAAAAATTCAGAAATGGGAATGTGATGACAAAAATAAATGTTTACTTGTTGGACATAGACAGTTTCTTTTTTTCTTTCTTTTGAACCAGTGGCCATTATTGAGTGAGTCCTGTGGTTTTTGTAAACATGATTGAAACCTACTCTCACAGGATTTCGCTGTGTTTTGTTTGAAATAGTTTAAAATAGTCTACAAAGATCTCCATGTTCATCTTGAAAACATAAGAGACCTTTCAAAACAGCCATAATCAGAGCAAAAAAAAATATTGATGTTTCATTTGCCTTTGTTTTGTTATAGAGAACTTTACCTCGATTCCATGCAAGCCTCCACCTCCTCCAAAAATAGAAAGGAAATTTCCACCTTACAACGGCTTCGGTTCTGAAGAAGATTCTCTCCGCTCTTGCATAGGCCTCAGACCCACACCTCATCAGAAGGACTTCAGGAAGTACATGGAAAAAGACAGGTGCTTGAAGGGACCATGATTTTTAAATTTTTGATTTTATTTATTTTTAAAGATTTATTTATTTTAGGCATACAAGAACTGGGGTATGGCCAGAGGTGTGGGGGATGAGAGGATTCACCAGAGACAGAGTGGGGAGCAGAACAGGCGGATTGACTGAAATACACTGCTGAGGAGAGCAGGGGGCGAGACAGGAAAGGTCTGCTGCAATATGTGGGTTAGCTCCCTGGCCAGCCAGGGATTGAACTGATATTGCAGTGGCTGCCAATAACTTGATAGGCTGTGTCTTTAGCCCCTGTGCCACCAGGGAAGCTTCATGATTTTTTTACTTTAATTAACTTATTTTTTAATGAAATACCTTTTTTCACATCCTTGCTAATTTTTTGACAGAACAGGATTTCTCCTTCAGATGTGGTCACTGTAGCTCTCCCACTGCCAAAGTACCCCTTGTTTATTATGCTCTTTCTGCCCTCCTGCCTGCCTTTCTCTCCCCTCCCGTCAAGGATGTGTCAGATCTATTGTCAGCTTTCTAGGTTTGTCTTTGTTAGTCTAATCTTTCCCAGGTGTGTTCAGGGTTTATAATACAGTCCTCAGGATGAAGCAGATGACACTCAGCTTGTCTAATTGTAATGGTCCTGGGACCACTGTTATAGCTTTTCAATGAATTTGATTATAATGCAGTCTTAACAGATTCTTTAGAGTGGTTATTATGTTTTTTTTTTTCCGTTTTCTTGAGATACAACTGACATATAACATTGTGTAAGTTTAAGGTGTACAATAAAATGATTTGATATAGGTATATATTGCAAATGACCACCACAGTAAAATTAATAAAATGAGTTAAGCACTTCACGTAGTTAGATTTTTTTCCCCCCTTGGTGATTACTTTTAAGATCTATTCTCTTAGCATCTTTCAAATATACAGTGCAGTACTGTTAACTGTTGTCACCACGATGTGCATTATATCCTCAGAACTTATTCATTTTATAACTGGAAGTTTCTATCTTTTGTCTACCTTCACCCATTTTCCAAACCCCACCCACTTCTAACAGCCACCAACCTATTTTTTGTTTCTATGAGTTCATGGTGTTTTTTTAAAATAGATTCCACATGTAACTGAGATCATACAGTATTTTTCTTTCTTTGTCTGACTTATTTTACTTAGATTAATGTCCTCAAAGTCCATCTGTGTTGTTGTAAATGGCAGGATTTCCTTCTTTTTTATGTGTAAATGATATTCTGTTAGGTATATAGTCATGCATTACTTAATGGCATTTCAGTCAATGATGGACCACATATATGACAGCCCTTCCAATGGGCTATACCATATAGTCTAGGTGTGTAGTATGCCATACCATTTATGTTTGTATAATTGTACTCTATGACATCAACACAATGATGAAATTACCTAATAAGATGCATTTCTCATAACATATCTCTTATCAAGCTCTGCATGACCGTGTGTGTGTTTATACACACACACACATATATACATGAAATTTATATACACACAAACACACACATCATATTTTCTTTATCCATTCATCTATCAATGGGCACTTAGGTCATTTCCACGTCTTGGTTATTGTGGAGTGCTGCAGTGGACATGGGAGTTTTCTTTGGGACAGTAATTTTGTTTCTTTCAGATATATACTCACAAGTAGAATGGCTGGATCATGTGGCAGTTCTATTTTTGACTTTTTGAGAAGCCACCATTTCCACAGGGGCTGAACCAATTTTCGTTCTTACTGACAGTGTGCAAGAGTTCCCTTTTTTCCACATCCTTGTCATTCAGCGGTTGTTTTAATAAGTGTCACTTGGAGGCTCCTAAAGTCATGGCATTCCCAGTCTATGTTGCTCATACATGTGTATATACATGTATATACATGTACACACATGTATGTATAGTGTGATATATGCAGTTCACCCTCCAATAATAAGGGGGTTAGGGACACTAACCACCATGCAGTTGAAAATACATATATTAATAACTTATGGTTATCCCTCCACATACAGGGGTTCCACGCTTGGGGAATTCAACCAGCTGAAATCCATGGCTGATTGAATCCATGAATGTGGAACCTGAGGTTAGAAAAAAATTTCCTATAAGTGGACCCACATAGTTCAAACCTATATTGTTCAAAAGTCAAGTGTGTGTGTGTGTGCAGGTGTGTGTGTGTGTTTACCTTTCCATATATATTTCTTCTCAAGATGGTCTCTAGGAAATTATGTAGAGTAGGGGTCAGCAAACTTTTTCTTAAAGGATCAGATAGTGAATATTTTTGGCTTTCTAGATAATTCAGCCTCTGCCATTCAATTCTGTTGTCATGGGGTGAAAATAGCCACAGACAGCTCATAAACAAATGTGTGTCTGTTTTCCAGGAAGACTTTATTGATGACACTGACATATGAATATCAAATCACAAAATATTTTTTAAAGCCTTTTCAAACCTTATAAAAATGTGGAAAACCATTGTTAGCTCATATAAAAACAGGTGGCCAGCCGTATTTGGCCACACACTTTACTGCACCTTGGTATTGAGCCTTCAGTGATTTATAAGTGTATTTCAGGATGTTACTTGACAATGTTTTTAATTTAGTTGAGTTCAGTAACCATAGATTGCTCCTATGGCTAAATATAATTTCAAAAGATGGACTTTCAACAGTGTTTCTAATGTAAGTAAGAGAAAATCTGCCCCTGAGTTGTGAATAGAATGTGGGTACAGTCCTGGCTTTTTGCTTCTGCAAGGGAGAATAAGCCTTGGATAAAAAAGTTGGGAAGGAGAGTTGGTAGGAAAATGTTGCGGATACTTGAACAGGATGTGGGCTAGGAATCAAAGTCCTGTGTGAGGCAAATAAAGGACGAGGAAAAGCTATGGAGCAAAATGATAAAGGGAACACGTAGTAACACCAGGAGGAGAAGAAAAAGACAGCATCCTGAATTTGATCAAATTTAATGGCGTTCGATGTAGAATATTTTGAAGCAGAGAGTACAGTGGTTTTGATATAACTGTAAAAATGGTAAGAGTATGTTGAGTTTATAGAACATACAGAAGACTGCCTTTGATGTCCTGCTTAGAATTTTATGTTTAAGTTTCAGAATCGGTGTTAACTAAAGTGTGACCCTCACGCTTGTTAGAAATGCTAATGTACTCTAGCCCAGGCCAGCTGAGGCAGTGGCTGAGAGAGTGGGGCCTGGAACCTCTGAACCAGCCCTTCAGGGAGTTCTGCTGGGCACTTGGGTTTGAGAACCACTGGTTTCCATCATATAAGTGGGACGCCAATTTGTACTCCATCGTCCTTTGTAGAAAGTGGTATTTACAGGGAGTTTCAGGGCAGGACTTTTGATACTTTTCTCATACTACTGGTGTTAAGGGCAGCCACTTAAAGGAGGCAGGCAGAAAGAATATCCCTATTGTAAAAGGAGAGGGAATTTTTCTTATAAGTAAACAGGAGGAAACATGATTCCAGGGTGTTGCTTCTGGAACCCAGGGGAAAACTGTTCTTGGTGGGTAGTCGCATGAGTGTCTCTGCCTGTCTGCAACCCGTCTCAGCTTGTGTGCAGAGCACTGACTGTAGACAGCTCTCTGCGTCATGCCATGCTGTTGGGCCAGGAGATGGTACAGGCACGACATCTCTAATTTTGTTTCTTTCTGTCCACTACTTATTCTTTGCCAGAAATATCCTTCCTTCAAGCTCCTCCCACACAGTGACCTTGTTTCCATAGTGACTGGCATATTCAGCGGGAGATGTACAGTATGAGTTTGAATAACCTAAGGTTTTCAAAACTGTGAGAACCTAAGGAAGATGATCTCACAAAGCATACAAAGACAGTCTCTTATTGTAAATAAACTGTGAATTGAGAGGTGCAACTTGTACATGACATGTATGATTATTTATACTGCTATTATAAATTTACTGGGTGCTAATTGTATGAGATTGGTGCTGATATACTGAGTCATTGAAGGAAATATTTTCAAATGAAAGCCTAGGAGGTTTTTGAGGTACATGAAAACCTATTTTGTTTGAGTAAAAATTTACTGTGGTGGCCTGCTGGGCAGATTGTCCAGTCTGACTTGGGAGATCAGAATAATATCTTTCTTGCTGTATTCAATTGAATTACTTTCTTTTTTGTGTGCCCACAATACTCTGCTGATGATACCTATAATAATATTACTACCAATAACAAGCAATTAGTGGTTACTATGTGCTAACTAGTTTACAATATGTGATCTCATTTAATCATCAAACAATCTAATAAAATAGATATCATACCCATTCTTTCCATGAGGAAAACTGCAGCTCAGAGAGGCTACACAATTTTCCCAAGCTCACACGGCTAATTTTTGGTTGAACTAGAACTTGAGCACAGGGAATTCTTCTGGTATTTTCCTTTCTTGTCACAGAACTGGCATTTACCACAGTGTATGATAATTACTTGTTTATGTAATTGAAGTTTCCACCTAGACTAAGAACTCCTTGAGGATAGGGACTGGTTGCATTGCTTACCTGAGAGTTAAAACAATGCTAGCTACATACTTGCGGCCTAATAAATATTTTGTCCAATAGAGAAGGTATGGATGACAAAGTGAGTAAATAGAACAAATATTCACCCTTCCAGTTCTTAAAGATCAATAGAGAGATGACTTCCCACCAGGAAGGTTATTATAACCGACTTGTGTTATTCATAACAATATAGCATTCAAAAATTCATGGCTTCATCTTTTTTTAAAACTGATGAAATCCACTTTTTATATAACTTTTTAAAATTAAGTTGACTCACTTCATCTATATATAGATAAAGTTACGACATGGTTGCTGGACCTAATTATTTATAAATTGTTGGGATGATGGGAAACAATGCATTAAAAAGAAACAGAGGAGTATATGAGTCTATGCAGTCTAAATTGCATGTGACAGATTATGGACAGTGCAGGAGTTTTGAGTAAGGTGATCAGCTCTGAGGGTGGCCGTGGTCAAGCACAACTCTACTGATTGGGGCCCAACAGGATAGACAGGGCTCTGGGCTGGCACAGGGAAAGATGAAGGTGTGCCCTAGGGTAGAGAATGACACCAAATGAAGGCCTGGAAGCAGAAAGGAGGTTGGCATGGGCAGTAAATGAAGTAACTTGTGTGGATTATTGTGACAAATAGCTCCCTAAATGTGTGTGTATTTGAACCTGATTATCAGTGCCCCAGAAAGCCAAATTAAGCAGTATAGGTGGTCAGTAGGAAGCAGGGGAAAATGCTAAAATTTTTTTTTTTTTGTAATTTTTTACTGACTTTAAAGGACATAAGAATACTATGCAATGCCTTAGATTTTCTGCATTCCAGACATGGTCTTCCTTATTCACTCTGTACAATAATGGTTTGATTTCTTCTTAATAGACTCAATTATTCATCGCAGTCCAATGCTAACATTTTTTAAGTGCTGGGAGTATTGTGATGAAAATAAAAGAATATTTAGAGAGGTTTGATAATTAGCTTATTAAAAAAATATCTGAAGGCATTTGCAGTGTTTTTCAAAGTGTGTGCTACAACATCGTCAGAATCTCCCGGGGAGCTTATTAAAAATTCAGTTTTTTTCTGGAAATGCAAGCTAACTACTCATACATATCTCTGGGGGTGGGATTCTGGATTCTGTATATTTAACAAGCTCCCCAAGTGACTTTTATAGACAATAAAGTTTGTGAATAGTTGGTCTAAAGATTTTGTTTGAGCAGATCATATTCCTGATTGACAAGATCTGTAGAACAGTAGAATTCAGTGGAAATGGCATATTAAATATGAAAAATCCACACTTAACATACACACTAATTTATATAAGTTTCAAGAAGCTAAGTTGATTTTAGTTTTCATTTGGTCTGATGTTAAACTTCATTTAGTTGTTTCAGTGATATTTTAGGCCTTCGTAAAAGTTATGGATCTTTCAAGAGAGAGGAGGCTACCAAATCTGTTTACTACTTATGATGTAGTAGACGGTTGACAAGATGTAGCTTCCCTGAGCACTATATAAGGTCTATCTTAAGTCAGAGAAACTAGCAACTAAGAAAACAGCTATAGCGATCTTGCTGTTTTGCCCAGGGACTAGACCTCCAAATTGCTAATTTCCATCTCACAGGAAGCTTCAAGTTGGGAATGCTGGGAATGTTGACTCCATGCTTTTCAGTCCTGCTCCCTTGGACAATCAGAGAACGAGTTAGAGAAAAGCAATTGCCTCTGCAAATAAGATATTTTTTTTTTCTTTTCAATCACTGTAACACCAGAAAAGAATGAGTTTAAGCTAAGGAGAATCAGAACTAGAGTTTCTTAGAGTTGTGACAGGGAGTAACAAAGTGCATGGTTTATTTTACTATGTGCCTCCTTGTGGTAATGATTTTGATTATCAAAGACCATCCTAACGGTTTATTTAGTGTTTATTATGAAGTCTCCTTTTTTTACTAGCTGTTATCTACAGATATGCTTCTGTTGACAGACCATACATTAATTTCTTAAGTATCAGGCATATAACTTTGGAATTTATGTTTCTACAACCTGATCCTATCTTTGGTCTACTAGACTATTCATGCATAAAATTCTAAGTGCAAATTCCAGTCTACATGGATTTTATAACAACTTTCTAAGCAACTTCCTAACAACTTTACAAGCATCTGTTGAGGACTTCCTATGTAAAAAATGTTGTATTAGATAACCGTTAATAAGATGCAGTCCTTTCCCTTGAAAATAGATTTGTAATGGCTGCTTAAAATATGGGTGAGAAGTGCTATAGAAGAGCCAGGTCTATAATACTTAATAAAGCATGTGACAGGGAAAATGTAACTTTCCCTTAAAGGGATTTGGGGGGAATGTTGGGGAATTGGAGGAGTTACTTAGGGAGGAGAGGGTGTGAGGCTGGAAGGAAGAAAGGAAATGGGCATGAAAAAGTGAGAGGAAAATGGGGAAGAGCCTGCAGGCACCAGCAGAGCAGACACTGGCACACTGGGCACAAGGGCTAGGTGCTGAGCTTTGTGCTGACATGTGTTTGTGATTCTTAAACGGTCTCATGGGTAGAGAACAGCTGTTTAATTCAGCTTGTTTGAGCAGTGTGCTTATGACATGTGTTTTGGGTAGATTCTCCCAATATGTTACCTTGGACATCTAAAGAATAAGATACTTCAATATACTGAGAAAATTCTGCTTATAGATTTAGAACATTAATCATAAAACAGATGACCCTTTTTCTACTCCAGAAAGTTATACTATCTGAAAACCATAGCATGTCTGGGGTCAAGGGTGTGAATGGGTGTAGGGAGTCAAAAGGTATAAATGTCCAGATATAAAATAAGCCTAGTGACTGTAGTTAATAGTACTACTGTTGCATGTTTGAAAGTTGCTAAGAGAATACATCTTAGAAGGTTCTCATCGGAAGAAAAGGTTTTGTAACCACATGTTATGATGGATGTTAACTGGACTCATGTGATCATTTCCCAAAATATACAAATACTGAATCATTAGGTTGTGCACTTGAAGCTGATAAAATTATGTACCAATTATGCAACAGAAAATGTAAAAAGAAAACGACAGCACACTTTTTACAGGATTTTAAATATACATAATGTGTGGAAGATTACTTGTATAATGCTTTAACCCTCATTTTTCTTCCATTTAGCTATGGCAACATAAGCAATACGCTCCGTTTTTTTGCAAAACTTTTCACACACAAATGTGCCGATGCCGACAGGATGTTTATTATTTCATATTTTCTCAGTGATAACACAATGTCAGTGTTTGAACCTATAGAGAGGAATTCAGGTAAGAGATATACCTCTTGGAGCAATTTCCTCAGAACAGTATACTGTCTCTTCATTTTCAAAGTTAGGGGCTATGATCTAATTTTACAGCCTAGCTGATCTAACACAGTGGCTTTCTTCCTTCTTTCTTTAACCACTAAGCTTCATTTAAATGGGAACCCAGATATGTAAAATGATAAAAGAAGAACCATTTTGGTTGGTTCAGTACTGGGGGACTCAGAACACCTCCATTTAGATACTATCTCCCCATCTTCTTAATATTTTTTATCGCTCCTCCCTCGTTAGCCTCTGAGGGCACCTCTGTGGAATCCAAGGACTTTATAGACTAGCAGCCACCAATTCCACACACAACCAGTATGACAAGAGGAAACTGTATTCTTGATAGTACCTCTCACAAAACGGTGTAAGACAAGAATGCCAGATTCACAAATTTAGTCTTTAGAGTCCATCTTTCTTTGGTTTTTCTGTCTGAGGTTTTTGCCAAGATTCCAGCAGCAAGGTCCACCAATGCCTCTGCAGTGTGCTGGTGCTGTGGCCGTTGCTGAGCAGAGCCACTGATTTTCACTTACCAAATCATGGAACTGTTAGGGTTCCATTCTCTGTCCTAACATGTTTGAAACCTTCATCTGTGTTAGTAACACACATCTGGGAGGAATCATTAGTGGTATGCTAGTTAACTGGCTCTTTGAGAAAATTATAAAAGCCCCAATTTGTACTGTTTGCTAGTTTTCATCACATATATACCCACCATGGCCAATTTCAGGCAACCAACATTTTGACAACTGGCTTGCAAAATTCCTGAAAATTTAACAGCCAGCTCTTTTATGAGCTGGTATGAGCACACCAATGAATAATGAATAATTTGTATAGCTCAGTCACACTCGTCAGTGATTTGAAAAATGCATCAAATCTTAAAATGTAAAATTGAATTGGGATGAATATAGTCATGCTCTTAAATGTCAAAAAATCAAATCTATACATCAAGGATGGGAAAGATGAGGCCAAGCAAATTGCAGCATGCATAAACCAGGGAGGGTGATGGTAGTCGACTACAAGCTTATAAATAAAAATAGCAGCCATGGTTGAGTACTTACTGTTATCATTATAAGAACTTTATGAAATGAAGTTTCATGTAATGTAATCCAAGATGGGGTTAAATTTGCAAGGGATTTATATTGGGAAATGCTGGTGAAGGAAACCATGGAAGAAGCCAGAGGAGGCGGGAGAGCTGTCAGACTGCAGTACATGTCTGACTCCTGTGAAGGACAAAAGGAAGGAGAAAAGGAGAGGTCTTTGACTCAAGTGAAATTCTAAATTACTGCAAGACTCCTGGGGAGTCCTAGAGCCAAAGTCATTAGTTGGAAGAGCCCCCAACTTGCAGGAATGGGCATGCTCTAGTATCCCTACCTTGCTTAGTCATTTGTTGGCAACAGCCTGTGGGAAGCATCACCTTGGCACAAACCTGGAGGTAGATTTCAAAACATAGCAACTGGAATCTTCCTCTGTGTTCCCCATTGTAGGCTATCTGAGAGGTACATTTTCATGAACTCCCATAGATTTAATTCTCATACAGAGAGATTCATAGAGAGTACACAACTCCTTAAGATAATCCCATGAGCAAGTGACAAAGCCAGGATGATCTCCAGCTCGATTTGGCTCCCAAACCTCTATCTTTCTACCACTTACGGTTTCTGAATGTGGTAGGAGGAGCATGATAAAACTAGTCCAAAAAGCTTATTGTTAGGTCTCAGGATGTATTCATAGGTCTGAAGAATTTAGTTCATTATCAGTTAGAAAATACTAGAGTCACATGTTGTAATCTGTTGACTGCTTTGCAAGAGGTCACAGACCAAATAATGCCCATGATGATAATTTTGGAAAGAATGAAATATGTGGCATTGCTAAAAGAAACAAAGATATTTTACCTGTGGAAAAAAAGATCAATGGCACTCCCATAATTATCTTCAAACACTTAATGTGAGCGCATTTCTGGAAGAGGGGCATCTTACACTTAATCTGTCAGAATAAGCATAAGACATCATCTGGAACAAATAGGTGGAAATAAGCTCAAATGAGGAATGTTCTAGCTGAGGAATATCTTCCTGATATCCCAGTTGCCAGTATGCTTTTGGGAGATGCAGGTACTTTCTGAATGTTTAAGTGTTTGAATTGGGCAGGAAGTAGAGAGAAAAGAAAAGACTGGAATGCCATATCACATTTTTCTTTACATACTCACCTAGGAAGTCTCATTTCTTCACCCACTGGCTCATTCCTCCCTTCAGTCTGAGAATAATAGGCCATTATGAGTTCATTAGCCAAGTTGTGTGGTCTCTGAGCATGAAATAGCTCAAGGCAAGTTGTATAGTTCTTTTAAGAATAAAGGCTACTCATTAACTTATCTCTTTTTCTATAGGGTATACTGGTGGGATGTTCTTGAAAAGAAGTCGCGTTAAGAGACCTGGACAAGAAGTCTTTAAAAGTGAACTATCGGAATATATACAAGCTGAGGAGCTGTATGTTGGAGCCAAAGTGAACGTGAATGGCTACCTATTTCTTTTGCTCAATGCTGATGAGTACACCTTAAACTACATGGAGAACAATACAGATAAGGTGAACTGGCTTTGTGTAATTCTTGACTTGTCTCTCAGTACCTGGTAATGTATTTTCCTTTCTCTAGGTCTATTCTTCGTTTTGCACCCATTTTACATTGTGCATTCACACATGTGGGCATGAATAATAGATCATTGAGACTTGGCTCCGGGTCCCATCATACAGGCCATGTTCTAGTCTATTCTGTTTACAAGTTGGGTTCTCTGCTGCCCAGCATCATGGATGCCAGGCACAGGCAGGAGGCAGGCCCAAGGTTGAATCAAATTTCTTGCATATTCTGCTGATGTGGACAATGTTTTCAGAAAGAAATTCGGCAACTATTGAACAGGAAGAAAATCTGGTGCCACACACTGTGCTGTCCCAGTTAATCGGCACAAGTCTGCAGAGAAGGCCAAGACCTGAACAAACTGAAACCCCGAGGGAAGCCCATAGTTGCTGGGGTTGCAACTTCCATCACAGGAGCTACCTGAGGCCTAAATATGAATTCAGGGACAAATTGTCAACAGTGAGCTCAAGGAAATTTTTTCATCTGAAATAAGGTGAAAGATGGGTACTGTTACTAAAAGTACTACGTGGCAGTGCGATAATGTGTGTGAAGTGTTGAGTTCTGTGTGGCCCAGGGCAAGCTCAGGCCGTGTAGAGTGTAGCTAATGTAAACTAGGGCTATAGTTTCCAACACAGGGTGAACCTATATCTTAATGTAAAATACAGATGCAGCATGAATATATATATATTTTTAATATATGAAGGGCTTTTTCTTTTCAGAAAGATGAAAGCTGGGTAGGATATTATCTGGTATCAGTGTCCCAAGTGAAAATATGTTATTTTAAAACTACCTTTAACAGGGATATTCTAAGCAGAGAGAGATTAATATACGCTTTAATATCAGTCTGCAGAGTCTTTTCAAAAGACCTAATGGATCCTATCATGGAAATAGATTAAAGGAAATGCAAAAAAGGGAGGGGATGGGGGATTGCAATAGGTGCCAAACTCCCTGGTGGAAGAGAGAGAGTTTTATACTAAATTACCATTAATGTTTTTATTTTTAAACATAATCTTTTCATTTTTTAGCTCTTAGCTATAATTATTTACAACATTATGTTTTACTGGATTGAATAAAAAGTATTCTTACAAAGTCAAAAAACTAACCACATGGTAGGCAACAGAAATTGGGAGCTGCCTGGAGAGGGACTGTTTGGGGATTGCAGTGCGGGTGGATCTCTGACCCCCAGTCTTGCTCTGCTCATAGCCTGGTGAGACTGGTGTGGGAGTAGGGATTGTGTTCTGGGCCCTGTGGCCTGCAGTCCCTTCAGCTCAATTTTTCTAAGATCTGGGCCTGTGCAAATGTTGCTTATTGTCCTAAAACCTTCACTGAAGTGATACAAATCTGGTCATCAAAAGGATGGGGCTCACTATATCCCAGGCATGTTTAAATAGCTTTCTTGTCTTCCCCCCTTCCAGTTTCCTTACAGCAACCTTCAGCTTGCCCTACAAAAACTGAAAGAGGTAGAATCAAAATCCAGAGAGATCAAGCTGGTGTTTGCAAATGCTGACTGCAACCTCACGAAGAGGGTGGATTATAATACATTCAGGTAAGCAGTATTCTGCTAGTAATGATCTGTTTTCCCCTCAACATTGTCCAAATAATAGAAAGAAAAAATTCTTCTCTGTCTAATTAATTAACTACTTCGTATTTATATGACATTGTGGTCAAATTTCACCCTTTCTAGTAAATTTTACACATTTGCAAATTAAAGGCATTTATAAGGTGAGGACAGGCAGAAGCATAGAATCTTAATTGGTCACATGAAGCTAAAACTTTAGGATCCCACTAAAAGGCAAAGCCCATTTGTCAGGGATCAAAGAATTGCATTTGGGGGAGCACAGATTTGGGTAGAAATCCAAAACATGTCCCAAGGAGGAACAAAAGTCAGGGAGTTTTATATAGAGAAAAAGGAGGATGTGGTGAAGCATGAGCTAACAGTCAGGTGAAAGAGTCACAAGATAAAAGTAAGTAAAAGTTCACTCTTATCAGTCTCTTTAAATAGAATATTCTTATTCTTTCTGGCTTCTCAAACAACTGTGAAACAGTTGCCTTTTGCCCCAGTTGAATCCAATTTAGATAAGACAACAAAATGTTTTTTATCTGCAGTGGCTGCCTGACTCCATTTTAAAATGGCTCCACTTATGTCAACTTTTCACGGTCACATTTTCTTGTGGCTCATTCTGTTGAAGGGTCAGGGGAATGCTGGGAATGAGAAAGGCAGGAGAAAACTGCAGCTAAGAGCATCTCTTTTATATCTAGGGAATAAAAGAGGGACATCCCCTTAGGAATGCCATCTAATTGGAAAAGACAGGGGATGCTTCACTGATTATCAGAGAAAAGGTATATTTATGCATCTGTGCATATGTCTGCATGCAACTCATGTATTTTGAAAGATAGAAAAATACAGAAATTGAGAGAAAATATGAGGATACTTAGAAATATTATAAGAAATCTTGAACAATAAAGATTTCCTCTGAATTCTGGGACTGTCCAGTGGCTGACCTAGGCAAGTTTCCAAATTGCATGCACACAGGAAAATTCAAATTCAGGGTCTAGTGTATAATTGTGAAACAAAGTGACTAGAGCATTCAGGAGAATCATGGATGGAGGACAAAGGAGACTTTCTCTTTAGACTGAGAATTCTGGATCCTGAAAACTACTGGTTGAGGAAACTGGGCTTGATGCACTCAAGCTGTGTGCTGAAAAATGCGTAAGTTGAGCCCAGGAGACAGTGACAGTGAGGTCTTTCCAACTCTGCGTCTGAAGTCGCTTCTTACATTGGTACCTTGCGACCTGAGCCAACCACTAGGCCCAAGGTGTCCCCAATGCTCATTTGTTGTTTTAACATAGCTCTTCTGTGTTTCTAAAACATTCTTTTGAAAGAAGCAGGCAGAGGACATATATATATATTTTTTACATTGCCCAACCTTCTGGGTTCAATAAGGACTTATAGCTCTTTGTTATTGTTCATAGTAGTACACATGTTCCTGGCCCTTTGGAAAACAAAAGGAGGCAGAGTAAAGAGCAAAAACAATCGTTCAGGCTCTGGACTAATGGAAAGCAGTGGAGGAGAAAACAATTTCCATCAGAAATGAGGGAGTGGTTTTCCCAACGCATCCATTCTCCAAACACTCTAGCAAAGTTTGTTGGAAACGCTTTAGTGAGTTTATGGGGCATTCTGGGAAGCACTTAGGCCAAACAGAAGATCTAAGGAGGAAGAGGTTTTTTTATACATGGAGACCTGGCCCTAATTGTGGGTGGAATAAAGGACTGCCTCACTGTCTGCTTGAATGGGGCTGCATGCTCAGAAAGAACCAACTTCCCATCTTTTGACCCTCTCCTGACTAGAAATTCCTGAAAGTGAAAATTGGATCAGGTCATGCCTGGCTTGAAAAACCCTTTAGTGGCTTGCTGTTGTCCTTATAGTAGGATCCAAGCATTTGACAGCAGCTGGCAGGACCTTGAGTGATGTGACTCTGTGTACACATTTCCAGAGTCAGTACTACTTTTTCTGTAGCCCAGGCTTGCTGGTCTCATTCACTTTTTCAAACATGTCAATTCTTTCCTCCCTCCAAGCTGTTGCACTCATGCTTCCTGCTCTTGCAGTGCCCATACCACCACCCTTTTCATGGCCAGCTCTAGGACTCATCTTATGTGGCTCCTCCTCAGAAGGACTTTCTTTCTGACTGTCCTACTAAAGTAGATTATTTGCTGTTATCCTTGGCCCCTTGCTTGTATTTTTTTCACATTATTTGGCACAACTTGCAGTTAGCTTTATTTTCATATTGTCCTTGGTGTGTATGTGTTCGGCATCTCTTCTATTAAGAATGCGAGCTTTCTGAGGGACAGGGACCATAACCATCTTTCTCACAGTCCTATCCCTGGCACCTAGCTCTGGGCTCAGGACTTATCATAGTTCCTGAATTGAATAATGAACTGCTAGAATTATTCTTGGGGTCTCTAGAGCTGGTGGCATTGTCTCTATATGAGATTGTAGAGTAGGAGCCAAGATATCCTGGTCCACATGACATGCTCGGTGTCAGGCCCTGTGCCTTCTGTGCTTGGCTGCAAATATGGCTCCCTAACTCGTGGTCTTCAGTCCTCTCTTTTGCTCTTCATACTCTTTCCTGGGCAAAGACAAAGGAAATACTTAGCCAGTCATTATGATACCACGCCCTAACTTAATTCTGTGCTTGGCCATTTCACGAGCTAATATTTTTCTTTCTCTGTGTTTATGTGTACGTGTGTGTGTGCTGGCTATTCTAATCAGAACATAACCTCTTTGAGAACAGAAACCTCCATTTCTTGCATTCTGCTTTAGCTTTATCACTTTCCATGGCACCTGGTAAATAGTAGGGTGTTAATAAATACTTGTTGAGTGGCTATGTTTTATCCAGCCCTCACTGCTTGGACTGCCGCCTGGAGGCGATAGTTCCTCAAGCTCAGACCTTTCTCCTGAACTGTAGGTCTGGAAATATGAATGTCTCCAGGACAGTTCCTCCTTGGGTGCCCCTTAAGCTTCCCGAAATAACTTTCCCAAAATCTACCTCATTTTCTTTTTCCATAAAGTGGCAGCTGGGGACCCTATCTTGGTAAATGCTGACATACCTCTTCCCAGGGCCTGGGCCAAGGTCTACCTTTCCTTCCCCACACCCTTCCTCGGCTTGACTTAGTCCACCCAGCCCTTTGACATTGCGCTTCTTAAACTACTTCTGCATCCCCAGCTTCACTGTTGCAGTTCAGCTTATCACTACTGTTTACTTGGACTCTCTTCAGAGCTGTGTAGCTAATCTCCTTGTCTTAACTCTCATCCTCCAGAGTTTTCCCCGAAGTGACCTTCCTTAAACCTGATGATGTCATTCCTCTGCTCTAAACCTTGCATCAGCGCCTCACTGTCTCCAGGGCAAATCCTAACCCTTCAGTGTTTCATGTGGGATTGGCCATGATGTAATCCTTGCTTACCTCTCTCCCTTATTTCCACTAGAAGAATACCTTTGTAGAAGTCTCTGCTTATTGAGTGTGTTCTGTGGGCCAGATGTGTTAAGCTTTTCATCTACTGGCCACTGGTAACCCCAGTTACTTGTTTACCATCCTGCCTCCACAGTTGGCTCCTGCCATGTACAATGAATGTTTGCTGAATAATTTAATGAATGGTCCTATTTTTCACATAACATTCAGTCCTAAAATTTATAACAAACAAATGAATAATTGATTACATTGCACTAGGGAAAGGCAATCTGTCTCTCCCAGGCACTGGCATTCTGAAACTCTTAACATGTGGGTTTATAAGTACACTGGTAAATGATCCTTTGGCAGGTGGAGTCAGGCTTGTGGCATAGGCCTCTGGGCTTGCCGCTTTGGCCCTGCCTCTCTCACCCGGGGTTCATAGCTTGAAGTCCAAGTATGCACCTGGGACCTACTGCTCTAGGCAGTTGTCCAGACTCTGGGCATTTCCTTCTTTTCCTCAAAGATTTATACCCCTCCTCAGGGAAACCTCAACGGTGGGAGCTAATAAAACTACCTCTGTGCCTTAAGATATTGAATTCAGGTGTGGGCCTTCCCGAGCGCTTTCCCTCAAAATTGACCAAAGGGAGTGCAGGGACAGGTGTTGTCAGGCAATAGGAGGCAGTGTAGGGAAGGACTGCTTCTCTTCTGTCTTGTGGGGGTCACTATTTCTGCCTCTCGGTTGGGCCCATTTCCCTGGGATTTTCTTTCAGGGTCTGTCAGCTTGGACTGTGAGAGCTGCTGATTGTTATCAAGGATGTGTAGAGAGCCTTTCTCAGAGCCTCCAGGTACCTGGCAGGGAGTCAGGCAAGGACTAGGCTTGGCAGGACAAATATTTCTTGCAATTAGGAAGATGGGCCAGGGTAAAGCTTCCCAGTTTGGGCCTTGGATCCTGAACCTTAGGTGGCAGCAGCAGCAAGGGCCCCATGTTAGGGATAATGTGACCAGCCCCTTTAAACATGTGCCTCCCCAAATCTTTATCTACCCATCTAAGATGATATCTGCCCAACATAGCCTGAGTGTATTTTGGTTTTCTGTGTGCTCACCTCTTCTTTCTGCCTGGGTGGAACTCCCAGAGGGCGTGGCCCGTGCTTGTGTCGTCCCAGGATCCTTCAGTTCCTCGTGTCTCAGGCATCAGTGAACACAGTTCTTCAGAGTCCCTGTTACCAGTTGCAGGGTCAGAAGATTTCCTGTGAACATCCAAAATAAATTCCTTCTGATACTTAGAAGCACAAGAAAATTTTCTGTTTGGTAAAACTAGAACTCATCCCAAAGGAGGGTCTAAGATAAGTAGATCTGATTTTGGACTTTCAAACCTGAATTTCCTCTCTGATATTTGTCAGCCTGGTGTCCTTGAGTAAGCTGCTAAATGATGTTTTTGCCTATAAAATGGGGGATAATAACCCCTACTACACAGAACTGTTGTCATGAATAAATAGGATAATGTAAAGTTTTGATTGTAGCATACTTAGTGCTTAGTGGACCCTAGACAATGAAAATGGTTACCCCTATAGTTGCAACTTTGTGTTACTGAAAATAAGT